AGTTACAAGAATTACATCCATACGAACGTTAGTAGCGTTAGCTGCGGTTTATGGTCTTGAAATTCATCAAATGGATGTTAAGACGGCCTTCTTAAATGGAGAGTTGGAGGAAGAAATTTACATGGAACAACCTGAAGGGTTTGTGGTTCCAGGTAAAGAAAAGAAGGTCTGTAGACTTGTTAAGTCCCTTTACGGATTAAAACAAGCACCCAAACAATGGCATGCTATATTTGACCAAACAATGTTGTCAAATGGATTTAAGATAAATGAATGTGATAAATGTGTGTACATTAAAAATGTTCCAAATCACATAGTCATTGTTTGCTTATATGTGGATGATATGCTCATAATGAGTAATGACATTGCCAACATAAATGCTACTAAGCGTATGCTAACTAGCAAGTTTGATATGAAAGACTTGGGAGTTGCTGATTTAATTCTGGGAATTAAGATCCATAAGACTTCTCAAGGTCTAGCATTGTCACAATCTCATTATATTAAGACAGTACTTGAAAAATTCAAGCACTTGGGCTTTAAAGTTGCAAAGACTCCAATTGATGTGAATCTTGCATTAGCAAAGAACAAAGGCCAGAGCATATCACAATTGGATTATGCTCGTGTGTTGGGTTGCTTAATGTACATCATGAATTGTACACGACCAGATATAGCTTGTGCTATAAGTAAATTGAGTCGATATACGAGCAATCCAGGCCAATCTCATTGGATGGCCATGAAACGAGTTTTGGGGTATTTAGTACATACCCAGGACTTTGCTTTGCACTACAATAAATATCCTGCGGTCATTGAGGGATACTGTGATGCAAATTGGATCACCGGATCAACTGATTCCAAGTCCACAAGTGGATATGTATTCACTATTGGTGGAGGAGCGGTATCTTGGAAGTCATCCAAACAAACTTGTATTGCCCGCTCTACAATGGAGGCTGAGTTCATAGCCTTGGATAAAGCCGGTGAAGAAGCTGAATGGCTCCGGAATTTCTTGGAAGATATTCCATTTTGGCCCAAACCGTTGGCACCAATATGCATACATTGTGATAGTCAAGCGGCAATTGGAAGGGCTGGGAGCGTTATGTATAACGGTAAGTCTCGCCATATACGACGAAGACATAAAACCGTTAGACAATTACTCTCTAGAGGAATTATCACGATTGACTATGTAAAGTCAAGTGATAATGTGTCGGATCCACTTACAAAAGGCCTAACTAGAGAGGTAGTTGAGAAGTCATCAAGGGGAATGGGACTGTGGCCGAGAACAAGTCATAATGGCGGTAACTCTACCTAGAAGACTGGAGATCCCAAGATCTAGGTTCAAGGAGATCAAACAAAGTCATTTATGACGGTTCAACATAGTCAACTAAACTTTTGGTCCATTCTCGCGATGAGACAATGTTCAGTACCAAGGATAAAGCATTAAGACTTTTTAATGATTTCTAAATTTGATACGGGGTATATCAAATAGTGTATCTACGGGATGACACATTTAGGAATCACCTATGTAAGTGTGAAGTGTTAGCCGCTTCAAGGAGAACTTTGTAAGGCCAGTTCTCTACGCGCTTATGAAACCAGGCGGTGTTCATGGCTGAAACGAACACAACAATGAGAACCAAAGACGGTTAAGGGTTGGTTGCATGACTTGTGGTTGTCTAGGTATACACCAAAGTTCGACGGTTCAAAGATATCAAATCTACCGATTGATCGAATATATCCGACATAAGTTCACTACGGAAAGTTCAAAGGGAAACCTACTTATCCAGATGCAATTAATCCTTGCTTGCGAATCACACAGTTTTTCATGCATACTTCCGTGATATAGCCATTCCCCATTCATGTGGGGAATTGTTGGGTTTTTTATGTATTTAATTAATATATTAAATACTTAAAAGAGGGTGAATGGTAAATGGAGGAAAATGAAATTTTGAGTTAAATTTTAAGTTTCCCCCCTTGGTAAATGGACATTGTCCCATATTGGAAGAGGAAGAGGTTTTTATGGGTATATAAGCAATTGCTCTTCTTCTAGCTCTTAAAGAGTTGAGAAGAAGGCAAGCCTCGTGCCGTCGTCGTCGCTCGCTCGCTCGGCTCGGCTTCGGCTTCGGATTCGGATTTGGTCAAATGATTGATTGATTAACTTTTTGGACCAAATTTATTTGTTAATAGTAAACTATTAACAGAAATGTTATTAAATATTTATTTTAATAACAGAATATTAATATTAAATCCAAGCCGTTTTTCTGTTTTGGTAAGAGAAAATTAACTACCCTCTTCAATTTTTCCTCTTTATTGTTGAGTAAATGACCATTTATGTAATGGCATTTATGCTGTGGCCGTTTTGCATAAACAGCCATTCTGAAGAGTTGTACCTCTTCAGATTTCAGCCCAATTTTGGCTATAAATAGGACACTATTCTGCTCAGAATTTCACTACGATTTTTTGAGTTTTCTCTCCTTCTTCTGCATACTTTTAGCATCAAACAAAGTAAAAAGTAAGTGTGATTTGCTACCGAACATTGTGTTCGCTGAAACGCTGGGGTTTGAAGTACCACTACACCAGTGTGTAATTCGTTCTATCCTGGGAGGAAATAATCCATAACCTTGGGTACTAGGAGGGGATTAAATTCCTTAAGGAAACACTGTGAATCTAGTGGGCTCGAATTGATTTTCTGTCATTTCTATTTATGTTCATTTCTGTTTATATTCATTTATATTTCCAGAATTATTTTACAAATACAGTATACTAACAAGACCTTACCCCTATCTTGTGAAAATAGAGAGGCGGTTTCCGGTAGACCCTCGGCTCAATAAAAACAAAACCAATAATGGTTTAGCAATATTTTGAAGTCCATATAAAAAACTTCAATAGAGGACCATAACTTTCTCTTTGGCGCAATGTTACTCTTATGTAATGCAAAATCAAACTTTCAAACTTTTTATTTAGCAACTTCAACTAAATATTATTTAGACGCCTACTAAACCTTAAGAGCCTTTTTGGAAAGCCACCTAAGAATTGAATTTGGGTGTAATTGAGTGTAATTATACAGTGTGACATGTTTGTTTGGCTAAGTAATTGCTTGGTCAGCATGGAATTGGGTGTAATTACACACTCCAATTCTCCAGGGAAAGGTGAGAATTAGTGGTAATTACACTGTATAATTACAAGGTTACTTTTTAATTTCTTTTCTTTTTATTTTTATTTTAATTTATTTTCATTATAAATTTTATTTCCATTAGTTCAATTTTTTTATTTTATTTTTACTTTTTAATTTCTTTTTTAATTTTAAATATATTTTCTTTGTACATTATTATCTTTTATTTCTCTACCTTTACTTTTTGTGATTCCTTGTAATTGCTCGTATATTTTATTTTTTATTTATTTTATTTTCTTTATTTAGCGTAACTACGTTATTATTCTAGTTTTTGAAACTACACCTCCTAATATTAGAAATAATAAGTCATTAATAAACTTGGCATATAATGAGTGATGTCATTAAAGTAGAATTTCGTTGCTGAATGAGGTTATAAACTTATCGTGTTTCCTATTTTTAGGTTGTATTGGAATTTATTTTTATTATGTTGGAATTTGACATATGTTACAGTTTCTTTTTGGGATCTTGAAATTGTGTTATATTTATGGTTCCAATTTATTTGTTTTAGTAGTATTGGCTTGTTATTTCACATTGCATGTTGTTTATCTTTTTAGCTAGAATTGATAAATTAGTTTTGTCGAACATTTGCATAACGTTATGGCATTGTATTTATAAATGTTAATTTATTTTATCAAACATGCATTCCATGATGTTCTTATATAACATACGTTTTTAGTTTTTATAATTAATTAAATTAAATATGGAGTAGAAAATATATAATATAGGTAACAAATATATGATTACTAATTAGTGTATATTCAAAAAATTAAATATGCATTTTAAATACCAAAACTAATATCATTTATACTTATAAAAAATTATTTATAGGCATATATCTATTATATTAACTTTTAAATTTTGATAATGACTTCATTTAATCTAAATGTGTAATTACACTTGTGCAAACAATACGCTTGTAATTACACTGTAATTACGTTATGACAAACATAGAAGTCGTCGTAATTACTAGGCTGTGTAATGACTATCGTAGTAATTACACCAATTCTAATTAACGGGTGACTTTCCAAACGGAGAAAGAATAAAAAAATGTAAGTTATTTGAAAAAAAGTACTTCTATCTCCTAATTTATTAATTTCCCAGTGTACCTTTCTTTACGGGAGGATAAATGGTTTAACATTTTGGCTGTTTATTGCTTTACGCTCTCTTTATGTCAGGTGAAATTAAATTTGTTCATTTATGTTTCGCCTACTATCTATGTTAATCATTGTGCACAAAGCATCCTTTTTTAAAATTAAAAGAAATATTTGATCTACACCTCAATTCAGCTTTATTATATACTAAACCATTCCTCATTAATTTAAATGCATGTATAAATACAACCTTCTTTCTCCTTTGCCCTTTTTGTCTCTACCGTCTCTTCTCCTCTTCATCTTTGTGTAAAACTTAAAATCGAAAAACACAAAAGAGAAGAATAAAAGATGTAGAATAGGAAAAATGATACTATATAGCCGAAAAAATTATAAAATTTATATATATATATATATTTGTATATATAGATACATTCTATATGTTATATAAAAATTATACAAGTTCTATATATTTTTTCGGCTACTCGATGTAAATAATTTCTGGCATGGGCTAAAAGTGATAATACCCCTTTAGAATATTAGAATCAGGCTGTTTAATGTTTAATTACTATATTTATCAAGCTGCAAAGAAAAAAAGGTTAGAAGGGAAAAGAGAGGTAAATGGTAGTACTCGGCTCGGGCTGCCCAATTAGGTGAATACCGATCCAAGCCCAGTAAAAATTGAAACTAGCCGTTACTCTACCCGGTTGCAGACTTAAATTTTAACATTTGAACTTTCAAAACCATTTTTCCATTTTTAGCTCTTCTATCTCTCCCAAAAATATCTAAATTTGAATCCAATCAGTAATCAAAAGAAACCCTATTTCAAAGTTTGAATCTTTTCTTGAATTCTGGGGTTTATTCTCCTCGTTTACTTCTTCAATGGCTCCTACACCAAAGAATCAGATAACCCCATCTCCATTATCAAAATTGTATCAATGCCATGTTGTTAATTCAAGAACCCCACAATCGAAACATCGTTTAAACTTCACTACAACAGCAAAAGAAGGGCCACCTCCAGAGCACCCGGTTGAGGTTATAGGTCGTATTCGTGATTACCCTGATAATAAAAAGGACAAATTTCTATCAGCATTACAAGTAAACTCAGATCATCGGTCCTTACGCGTTAGGACTGACATAGGGTGTAGAGATTTTACACTTGATGGCGTGTCGTTGTCTGAAGAAGAGGATCTTGATGAGTTTTATAAGAAATTTGTGGAGTCAAGAATTGATGGAGTGAAATTAGGTGATAAATGTACAATAATGATGTATGGACCAACTGGTGCTGGTAAAAGTCATACTATGTTTGGGAGTGTTAAGCAGCCTGGTATTGTGTATAGGTCATTGAAGAATATATTGGGTGATGAGAATAGTGAGAAAGTTGGTGTTGGCACATTTGTTCAGGTTACTGTTTTGGAGATATATAATGAGGAAATTTATGATTTGTTATCGACGACTAATAGTGGTGGTGGATTTGGTTTTGGTTGGTCTAAAGCCAGTGCTTCTAAGGTAAAAATAGATTTTTCTTCTGGCAATTTTTGATAGTTGATGCACTGTTGTGGATATATGTAGCATAGACTAGTAGTATCTTATCTGATATTTTTTTCTGTATCATGTTTTTTTATCGATATGTTTCTTGAGTTTGAGAAAAGTTATGCTAGTAAATTCACATGCAACCTGTGTTTATTTGTATCAAGGAAAATGCTTATAATGCTCCAGTTTCTAAATGTGCTAGCTGATGTACTTGAATTTATAGCAACCATTATTAGGTTATTGTTTAAGTTTTCTTGTCAATAGCAAATTCAGTTGGCTTTCTGTAGTTTTGTGTTAAATAGATGTGCTAGTTGTTATTTAAGTGACATTTGCTCAATGTAGTTCAATATATTTTCTCTCACATAATTCCACTTATTGTTTCCTCCTTAGTATTTCCCCCACCTGACTGGGATAGTAGTGGTCTTGTTAAATACCGAAATGCTAAGGAAATTTATGATTTGTTATCGACGACTAATAGTGGTGGAAGATTTGGTTTTGGTTAGTCCAAGGCTAGTGCTTCTAAGGTAAAAATAGAATTTCTACTAGCAATGTTTTGACAGTTGATGCACCGTTGTGGATATATGTAGACATAGACTAGTAGTATCTTATCTGATATTTTTGACTGTAGCTTGTTTTTGTATTGATATGTTTCTTGAGTTTTTAGTACAACATGTTTAGTTCTGTATTGTTGATTCTGCTCCTGAACTGATGAGCCTTAGCATTATAATTTTGGTTTGAGAAACGTTTTGCTAATTTATTCACATGATAGCTGTGTTTATTTGTATTTAAAATGCGCTGGCTGATGTACTTGAACTTGTAGCAGCCATTATTAAGGTTTTTTATTGTTTAAGTTTTCATGTTAATATGAATTCCAGTCGACTTTCTATAATTTGTGATATACAGATGTGCTTTTTGCTATTTAAGTGACAATTGCTCAATGTAGTTATCACATAAAACATGAATCCCCTTTATGTTCCCTCCTTAGTATTCCCCCGACCTGACTTGGGATAGTAGCGGTCTTGTTAAATTCCGAAATGTCAGTAACTTTCTAGTGCTTTACCTAAACTCGCTCGACATAAATAACACCTATACAGAAAATGTCAATGAGAATGAGGTGTCGTTTTCATTGTTGATCAATGACTAACAGACGTTTATACTCAGAAGTTAGTAACTTAAGTTCGCTATCATGTGAAACTTTAAATATGAGAAAGGAGGTACGATTTTGCTTACTGATTTTTATGTCCATACAATGTTGGTCCTGTCCTTTACCTTTGCAGGTGAAGCTGGAAGTTATTTGCAAAAAAGCAAAAAATGCAACTTTTATCTCGGGGACTGAAGCTATAAAGATATCGAAAGAGATCCAGAAAGTGGAAAAGAGAAGAATCGTAAAGAGTACCCTGTGTAATGAGAGGAGCTCTCGGAGCCACTGCATGGTAGTATATGTTTAATCACATTTTCATGGAAATAAGTTCGTTTTATTTCTAGTTTCAGCTATGCATATTCGTCTTCAATTTCACTAAAGGCGGCTAAAATGTCATTGTACAGATAATCCTTGACGTTCCAACAGTGGGAGGGCGACTGATGCTTGTGGACATGGCTGGTTCTGAGAATATTGAACAAGCTGGTCAAACTGGTTTGGAAGCAAAAATGCAGGTAAGAGTTCTGGATTCTCTTTAGCTCGCTTATTATCTGATTTTCCTTTTAAAGTACCTCAAAATATATGACCATCTCGTTGATATAATTGTTGTCTTACTGGTATTAAATATTGCAGACTGCGAAAATAAACCAGGGAAACATTGCATTGAAGAGGGTTGTTGAATCAATTGCAAATGGCGATTCTCATGTTCCGTTTAGAGATAGCAAGTTAACAATGCTCCTACAGGTAAATTTTATGTATATACCATTTATATAGTATGGGCAGATTGCTTTTAAAATTTGTTCGTAGACTTGCTGACGTTGATTCAACTATATTTTATGTAGGATTCTTTTGAAGACGACAAATCTAAAATTCTCATGATATTGTGTGCGAGCCCGGATCCTAAAGAACTCCACAAGACAATCTCTACTCTAGAGTATGGCGCCAAAGCGAAATGTATTGTCCGTGGCCCTCATACGCCGTTGAAGGAGAAAGGTTCAGAAGATTCTTCCTCATCGGCAGTTATTTTGGGATCAAGGATTGCCGTTATGGACCAGTTTATCTACAAGCTTCAGATGGAGAACAAGCTGAAAGAGAAAGAGCGTAATGAAGCTCAGAAAGAGCTTATGAGGAAAGAAGAAGAAATTGCTACACTGAGGACCAAACTTGAGTTAGTACAAGGAAAGGGAACGGAGATAACTGAGGAGGAGATCAATGTTAAAGTGAACGAGCGAACTCAGATGTTGAAGAGTGAGTTGGAAAAGAGGATACAAGAATGTCAGAAAATGGCAAATGAAATTGTTGAAATGGAAAGGAGGAAGATGGAAGAAAGAATGTTCCAGCAGCAACAAGAATTTGAAATGCTACGGAGGCGCTTGGAGGAGATGGAAGCTGAGCTTCGCCGCTCTAGGGCTGAAAGTGGATCATCAGTACAAGTGGAGGAAAATACTTTCGCGAAAAGACTGCAGGATATTTACTCTGAAGATGCTGCAGGAATGGTAAAATCTATGGATTTGGACAGATCAATTGATATGGACAACGGAAAACGTGATATACTGGTATATAAACCTGAAGGTGGTAACACTTTTCAAGCAATCTTGGGCTATCCCAACATAGGCAATTCAGGAGAAGTTGAAGATCCTGCTGTCAATCTTGGGTTGCCACATTTCGCCAATAAAGCTAGCCTGAGCACTGTATTTGAAGAGGACGAAGAAGGTGATGGTGAATTGGAGGTGCAGAAGGAGGTCATTGAGGAAAAAAGAATATGTTCGGGTCTGCTAAATCATGACACGAGTTGTTTGAGACCAGTTCCTGATGATTTCAGTGATTTATCAAAGGACACCGATGTTTGTATGGGTGCAGCGCCTTCTAGAAAAGTGCTTATTGAGAACATCTTCACACTCTGTGGAAATTATAGAGAGCTTTCTCATCATAGTATAAGTCCAGCGAAACATGCAGAGAAGAATGTTAACGATGCTGATTTCTCATCACCTACAGTTAAGACAATCGGAGCTGCAAAAGATTTTCATACTCCATCAGTAGGTTTCTCCAAGGATCATTCGCCATCAGTTTATCCCGAGACTATAAAAAAGTCATCAGTAAATCAGACGAGAATGTTTAAGAGCTCTTATGATTCAAAGGAGAACTTCAACCCTACTGGTCTATTAACTCCACAGTCAGTTATCAAAGAAGTCGCTACTGGACTTTCTCCCAAAGTAGGAGAACATCTAAGTAGAACACCGTTTGTAACGGTGAAAAGATATGTCAATAACTCTTAGTTGATATGTATATGTTTGATTTTGTGTGAATCATGTATGTAATCTCACGTGACATTCTGATATTTTGCTCTTGAGTACATTGCATATGTACTCGTATGGGATTAACTTAGTGATTCAGACTTGAGTTTGATTAACTAGTTTTGCTAACACAACAGAAAATTGGTAGTTGGGTCTATGTAGTTAAAATTCTGCTCAATCTTCGCCTACTCTCAGCTGCCAGTATGGTGCAACAAACAAATGTGTTAACCTTACGCTTAGTTTGCATGTTTGAGCAAATAATGTCCAATTTTTTTTTACTGCAACTCTTCCCTTGTTGTGTGGCCCTCCGAACTGCCAGGTGCACAAGGCATCTCACATTCACGCAGGTGCCGGAGAATGGCCGCACCCTAAGAGGTGTGATGTAGACAACCTAACCTTAATGCAAGCATTATTGGCAGCTTCCGCGACTCGGACGTGTGACCTATAGGTCACACAAAAGACAACTCTGCCATTGCTCCAAGGCTCCCCTTCACACACGCACAGGCACAGGCACACGCACACACAAACTATCGGTAAAAAGATTGAGAAAACAAGATAGCAAAATGAGTTTAGTGATGCATGATATGTCATTCTAAACTTGATGCGGATACTTGAACGTGCAGCAAATGAACTTCACAAGTTGATCTAACAAGTAACAACTGAGACTCAATGAAATGGTAACAGAAGAGTTTCTGATGCCCAAGTTGTCTTAATCAACAGCAACCATCCCGGATACAGTGTAGGCGAACTAATCATATGTTTACTTCTAAAAATCAATTCCAACTCATGAAAATGGCATTAGGCTTGTGAGGAATATTAATTTATAGATAGTTTAATCACATAGTTCACACATGCTCTTTTTAACTCACTGTGAACGGTGGCGGAGCTAGAGTACCGGAAACGGGTTCGGCCGAACCCAGTAGCTTTGGATAGAACCCTATATTTATCTTAAAAAATCTATTGAATATATAAAAATTATTAATTTAGAACCCAATAACTTAAAACAATTAGAATCCCAAACTCATTAACTCGAATGCCTGGCTCCACCTCTGATTGTGAACTTTTGTCAAAAAGAAGAAACATTAGAGGAGTAAGATGCTGGCCAGAAAATATCATAAAACTTTAGCGGGACAAAATGAATATAAAAGTAACAGATGTGGTGAAAATTTGGGAGAAATAACAATGCTGTTGAAAAATTGGGACAAGATGAAAATAGAATCAACAAATATGGTGAAGATCTACACTTTCGAACTTCTGAATGATGGAAAAATTTAGGACAAATAACAATGCTGAAACTGGAGAAGTAGCTGTTGAAGAAAGAAGTTGATTATGAAGCTTTCATACCGTCCAAGCCAACACTAGCCTGCACGAAAGACCAATGCATCATTCACAAACTTAAGTCAACCGTAGTTTTGTCTGAAACTTGAAAAGAGTATTAATGTCATACCAGAAACTTGTGGATTTGCTGAAGTATAGGCGAAAACGTCGTACAAAACTTTTCCATATCACCATAGATGTCACCGTTGCCACCTATAACCTCCATGAACTTTTTCCTATCTGGAGCAAGCTTTATGGCAACCTTTGGTTCACATTTAGAAACACGTTAGCACGTTTTACAGGTACAAAAGATCAAAATGTACTTACAGCTGCTATGACAAGAGACAAGCGATTCACATATATACATTAGAAGAGGTGAAATTCTGGTATGAGGTCATTATTAGATGGACAACACAGTGAAGAAAGTACCGTAAAGCTTGAACTAGCAAGCCATCCGTGCCATTTCTTCAATGTCTTGGCGTAAGAATCGTTGCAAGCTTGGGAGATTGACCAATCTTGATGCTGAGCTAAATTGTGAAATAGTACCACTATGAAGTCCATGGCTCTGCAGCGTTAGCAGAATGATCGATTAGTCTGACTTATCTTAACACATTATGTAAGTAGAGTTTGTTCATCAAATAAGCAAATGCAAGCTTGTTATGCAACAAAGGGAAAGGGCTACATAACGAGGATGGAAAAACAATCGCGTACCTTGTTAACCATAGCAAACCATTGGTACAGCTAGATGAAGATTTAGCAGTCTTTATCTCAACTTCTGCCTGAACGAAACTGTACAAGTAGTTGAATCTCGACGTGTTATCATTATACTTGGATTCTAACCTCTGTAAGGAAACAAACATTATATTCATCGTTAGGACGAATGTAAGATATTTAAGGTACATGTATTGTTCAAATTGTTCAATGTAAGGTAGGTTTTCAAAAAGAAGAACTCTGAATGATACTGTTATACATGAAATCTGCAACACAAGTTGCGATATTTGTAATATTTAAACAGAAGAAACAAAGAAATGACAAACTCACCGATATATTTCCATTGATGTCAGATTTAACCACAGTCATAGCAGCTCCAAATTTATCTGGCATCAGGGTGTTAATTTGTTAAAAAACTTCAGATAACACAAATACATCTATCTATGAGAATCCAAGTATGCACCAGTTTAGCACAAAAGGTTGTTAAAGTGGTGAATGTACTAACATCATGCAATCTTTTCTAAAGGGCAGCCTGGTACACTAAGCTCCCGCTATGTGCGGGGTTCGAGGAAGGGCCGGACCACAAAGGTCTATTGTACGCAGCCTTACCCTGCATTTTTGCAAGAGGCTGTTTCCACGGCTCGAATCCGTAAACCTCCTGGTCACATGGCAGCAACTTTATCATGCAATATTCTCTACTAATAAAAATTGGTTTCGATACTAGAAGTGTAACAACAACAACATACTCGGTGTAATTCCATAAGTGGGGTTTGGGAAGGGTAGTATATACGCAGACCTCACCCCCTACCTTGTGAAGCTAGACAGATTGTTTCCGATAGACCCTTAGCTCAATGAAAGCAAAATCACAGAGTAATAATCATGATAAATTTAGAGAAAAGTTTTGAACCTAGAATTGGCAATACAAGTTTGCAAACTTCCAAGAAAGGTTTAGTCATCAGCTCCCCATGTTCAGACTTGACATGCTTCATTCCTTCCAAAGCAGGGGAAAACAGTGTTCCCTCCATATTTGCCTATTTTACTGCACATAAAAAACACAAAGGATGAAAATGAGTGAAACAAGCAAATTGGATTACAGAATATGCCAGTAAACTTATGAATGAAAATGATTATACAGATTTTTTTTTTGAAACAAGCAAATTGGATTGCCAGTTTCTATACAGAAATGATGTTTCATATACAACAAAGGATGTAAACAAAAAAAAAAAAAACAAGGGAAAATGACACTGTTTAGCTGCCCTCAAAATAATAGCTGAAAAATGTATATCTTTTGTATATATATACATGTCTATATGTTATATACAAAAAATATGTAAATTATATACACTTCTGTGGCTACCGGGATGTAAAAAGTTTCTGTTGCGGGCTAAAAGTGATCTTTGCCTACAAGGGACCACTAAAGATATTGTTTTATCAAAATCCTTGCAATCCATATTTATGGGTTCTAAAAGATTTACAATGACCAAAAATGAGGGGCAATTTATCTTAGACAATACAAGTTTATTAATGAACATAACGACCCTATTGTTCCGATAGTGAGAAGAACCTACGATAAGTTTTTTGAGAAATTTCCAAATGAACAATTTCAATAAGATCCGGTCCTGGAAAATTTCCAAACGAACAATTTCAACGAGATCTTTTAATTTCGGTCCTAGCTATTCTTGATTCGGCATTAAAAGTATATTGACTTTTCCCCAATAAGCGAATGCTTTTGTATATAAATACTGACAGCTGAAAAACCATATGAAGAAAACAAGAGAAAAACTGGAGAAAACAAATCATATAACATGTCAAAGTACATAAATATAACAGGAATGATTTTAAAAAGAAAAGAACCTGGGATTTCAATGTTTAGATGTGGAACAATAAGGTTGCAGGTCAGATGATGTTGTGTGTATTTTTTCAGTTACATATCTTTTTATGAGGAATGAGATATAATCTTTATTAGAATTAATTGTTAGTAAAGTAGACAAAAATGCACATAAAGAGAAAAGGGAGTGGTTGTCACGTTTAATAACGGCTTTTCAAATTAGCCGCTGCTTCTACGATATGTGCGGAAAGAGTCATGTAGGTTAGTGGAATTTATTTTCTCTTTCTATTATTTAGGCACAATTAAGGTGCTATTACATTTTTCTGTGTTATTTTCAACAATTGGAATAAAGTTTAAAATACTAAAATTAAGTAGTAGGGAACTCGTAATATAATCAGAATCTTTTCTCTCTCGTGGATTGGCCAAATTTCATCAATACGAACATGGAAAAAACAGTCGGACGAATGGTCATATTTGCTCACAAGGTGCGTATAATAAAAGTGAAATGTCTTTTTAGTTAATCGTTTTTTTTTAAACTCAAATCATTGGTCCCAAATATGATAAAGGAGGTGGGTTCCAAAATACACTATCAGTCTATATGGACCCTCACGATAGAGAATATATCTGAATATATGGAGCGACATGATCAGGGGCATAGGTACCTTATTTTAAATGGTATTACGTGATATTACTTCGTCAAAAAATTTCATAAATATGTATGTATAGATAATAAGAAAAATAAGTTTAAATATGAAAAGTGGCACTACTTGTGGTTATAATGATTTATTTATTTGTTTAGTTCTTCAAATGTTGACACCGTTTACAAAAATTTCTGCATAGTATTTGTTTAGGGTTTAGAGTTTAGGGTATTCATAGCGCTTCTCAACTTACTTGATACATAGTATTTGTTGCTGCAATTATGTCAAGGAAAATAGGAATTAAGTGCAACTTGAGCTTTTACAAGCCTATAATGGTAAATGAAGTGAGTTGAGAACCATGAGGTTCAAGTTTAAATCCCAGCAAAAACAAAAACACTAGATGGTTTCTTCCCATCTATCCAAGTCTTGGTGGACAAAACCATAAAATCACTAGATGATTTCTTCCCATCAATCCAAGTTTTTTTAACAGAACCGTAAAATTAGTCGATGTACACGCAAGCTGGCAAGGACACCACAATTATAAAAAAATGTTCAAGGAAATTTGTGTTACGAAACTTAGCGACCCTGCTGGTTTGGATAAACAATAGTCTCTCCACCAAGT